GAGATTCTCGGCCAGGTAGCTGTTGTTGCTTTTATAATTCCACCTGTGTTTTATTGGCGTTTGTACCCGAGAAACTTTTCGTGGGTCATTTGTGGATTCGAGTCAGTGCAAGTACGTAAGAGGACGACTTTCAGCCTACTGGTCACGTCGACTATATGAGCAGCTCCGCCATCTACGATCTGGCTTCCCTCTTCCAAATCTTCGGGCTACCGTTCGACTCAGACCTGCGCCAAGTTTGTTGTTCCAAAAGTGCTCCACAGCGGTAGTTAATATGGCGGCATTTTCAGGCATCTGCTCACAAGTTCCGGCTGAACTGAATTTCGGTGGTGTTGGACTGCTTCCTGTCAACCTTTCGCTGGCCCATTACTTGCTTGAGATCATCCTGTCTATCAGCAGCCATTGTGCGACGGTTAATACCCGGTTGGTGCTAGCGGGTTTTACTCCCACATACCCGATGCATGAAGAGACATGCTGATTTTGGCAGGAAGTATTTGCTTTCGCGGCTGACGGAAATCAAGCATCGTTGTCTCACCTGGCACGATAATCAAAATACGTCTGCATCCTTGCCAGACGTCAATTTGTGTGTGTGTGGGGAGGTGACTTTGGAACATCTCTATACATTTTACACGCTCAGAAATATGTGGGTATAAGGAAGAGGGTCTGGAATTGCAGCTCCTTGGAAACCACGCCTCATTTCCCGCAAACCATTAGTGTGTTCATCAACCTCCATCCACTAACCAGCTTAGTATGACAGACTCCATGGATGTCAGAGTGAAACTCACTCAAACAGGCACACAACCCCCACCCAACGCAATCAGTTTCGCTTTCTTTGCGGGCCGTTGTTGATGGACATTTATTCAAACAGCATGGTTTCCGTGCATTGAGAGATCACGATCATCATACTTGCTAGACTAGCCATGACTATGGAATCCCCAGAGTAACCCGAGCGCTGCACTGTGGGATCCAGTGGCCTCACTTTTAAGGTGTGCATTGCACTGGGATCGTATAGACATGCCATTGATAGATGACATGCACCGACATTCCAACACTCCAAGGTACTGGAAAATGCTTCCTGTTGTCCGATCTGTCTCAGTGCGAACGTCGAAACAGGCTAAATTGAAACATCCAAGTGTGCAAGAAGGGTACCTTAGAATTGCGCTGCTAATATGATGTTTAGAACCGTTATCAATGTCGGACGTACTGGCAAGTTTGAGGGTTCCACTTGCTCGGTATTGGGACTTTCATGAGTAGTGGAGGAGTTTCAGTTTTTCGGTCAGAGTCGTCCGTGGGTCCACTGCTTTCCCGTTGTTGAAACTAAGCAAGGACTCTAGGGTCCACCGAAAACTTTGAAAAAAATGTAGAATCCTTAAGATGATGGGTTTAGGTTTCACTTTGAACTTAGGTGATTGATGCAAGATATGCGGCTGAGATACTATCTGAGTATACGCACCCGAAGTCTTTTGTTAAGTCGAGAAGACTCGTTGTATTCGGTATGGTTCTGTAATGACAACAAATAAACAACGGTTATTGATTGAATAGAAGTGTGAATGGCTAATACATAGCAATGATTCAATACGAACGTATATTCAAGATTGTACACAGGTCTTTGAGCAGATCCGACGCAAATATCAAGGAAAATACAGGTGAAGTTTATACTCCAAGTAGTGTCTGAAATCTGGAATGAGAGTCATGAAGTGTCGGTAGGTGTGAAGGAATCAACAAACGTTCACCGAACGTTACAATGGGTTAGAGTGAAGAATCATAGTCCCATAAACCGGAGGCAATAGCTCAGCTTCCAATCCACTCACCTTCATCCTCCTGAGCCACTCGAACCCTATCCGAAAAAACGATCTGGTATGCTCCATATGCCAACCAAGAATTGTTTAAAATTAGAGTTTCTCAACTCCCTTGGGTGGATAATCAATGGTCTGTCAATCCTGTAAGTGCTAGTCATCCGTTTTTGCTCCTCACCGCCGTGAGAAAGCAGGGAATAGGACTTCATCTGAAGGGTCTGTGAGGAGCAAGTCATTCGATACCAATTTGATTTGCACAAGGGAAGTTGTCTGCCAAAACTCCACCCCTACTATTCAAAATATAATAAAGTAAAAAGAATATCTTTCGGCTTTCTCGGTGTCTGGTTGCCGTGCCACGAAGCGTGAAAACACAGGCTGTCATACTGCCTTACTGCCCAAGCTTAGACAGGAGCGGTCGAAGTGCCGAGATTGGATCTCATGATCACTGGTTCGTCCCTTAGCTACCAATAATAACAGTCGTTCAGCTGTACCACTCGGTGCCCAGCTGCCGTGCCACACAAGGGAAGCACGAGGACTGGGATACTGCCACATGGCCCAGGCCTAGACAGGGGAAGATGGGAGGCGGATGTCTGGTTCGAACCAAAAATCTTCCGGTCAATGACTTTGCGCTCTAACCACTGAGCCATACAGATACTCCACTGTGATTTGGTGGCGGCGATTGATCTACTCTTGCTTAGCGTTAACCTGAGCACCCTGACCCCAGGCTTTTATGATTTCATAGTGGCGAAGTATGGAGTCGTATGGGGTCATTGCGAACAAGCTAAGACCAGTGTCCACAGCCAATGGCTATTCTGTCGTCATTTCTGAGTAAATCACGACCATTCAGTTCAGTGGAAATTAGCCGGAAATTGGCCCACCAGCATGTATGTTTCATCTCCTAGCTAGAATAAGCGCGGTTGGATGTGATGTTTTCCGAAGTGCAGCAGTACCCCCAGCTCCTCGAGACTACTTGTCTGGTCGTCTTGTGGAGTGTTATGACATATTGGGAAGGGCTTTTAGGAGAGCAATTCATCCTGTTTTTTTCTCTACATTTTCCACAAGTTAGCCAAGGGGTCTAGTGTAATCTGTAGCAACACATGGTAACCGTTCATTGCCTGCAGTTCGTAAAAGAAAGCATTCAGCCGTAGCACCCTTCCGCTGCCTAGCTGCCATGCCTGCAGTTGAAGCTTCAGAAAATCGGGTCCCTTATGACCCACATAATGCCACCTAACAACTATTATATGCGTGTTATGAGACACAAGTACGTTTATATTTTGAGATGTCGGTCTAACTAAACCCTGAAGTACTCCTTGTGTTGTACGAATATCACTGACGAAGGTCGCTTGAAATCCTCCCGGACATCTTAATCGCATCAGTTTGCAGATGAGTGACTCATAGGGCGTCACTGATTGGACGGCATATGAGTGCGTCTACTAGGCTGAGAAATGCATCTTTTCAATAATTAAAGTAATGTTACGAAGCTGCATATAAGTCGCTGCTATGTTAGAAGAACCCCCCTCACGTACTCATGAATTACAATGTTAGCTACCTGGAACAAAGTAATGAAGTCGTTTGCAACTCAAATTTGCAGTCTGCCGAGGCCTGTGGGATTAGTCTTTACTTTGGCCACACGCACTTCAAACACAGAGTAAGGGACACTTCTTCCACTTGTGTGCACCCAACTGAGGAGCGTCTTGATAACAATATGTTCCCAAAATTACATGTCAGTTGGTACTTCCAGCCTCTGTACCACATACGATCTGCAAAGCCTCAGGAAACTTACTGAGAATCATGTGGCTATCATAGCCCCATAATTCCGAAGGCAGTTTCACCTGCCCAATTCAGGACCGGTACAAATTCATACAACCGTTGTTTTGGAATCAAATTTGAGCCAGCTGTCATCGGTCCATCAGCCAGTTTATGCTACTTGCTACGTGCTTCCGCCCTTTTACTTGAGCGGGGAAACTGTCATGAGAAGGCTGAATAGGCGATTCCTTGAAGGTGTTTTATTGAGGTTAACTTGTTATCTCTTGGTTAATGATTCTCGCGTGGGAGACTGTCGAAGTAAATCAATCTGAGTGTTCACATTAGCCAGCTGATTGAATTTGGCAACAACCGGTTCCAACCAACTGTCACAGCTAACTAAAACCACCAGTTGCCTAATGTGCTTGGCGAACGCATAGTGCAAAGAATAAGAGACTGAAACTTCAGATTAGAGAATCGTTCTTCCTATGTCTTTTATTGACTCCGAATAGGACGAAAGCGCTCGTGTGACTGGACTTCTCCGGACTCGACGAGATGATGTCCCGAATCAGGAAGACTATAGTAATTGCCAAACTGTCGCCCTTGGTTATGTCTGCAGAGGTATGATCCACTGACAAGTGCTCTCGCTCGTTTGGGATCTCATCTTCATGCTCACCATCCTTGTCGTGCGAAGTGTAGCAGCTGGAATTAACTAAATTTCATTACATTTGTCAGTATGGACGAAGTGAACTGAGCTGCATAATGCAATACTTGTAGACTTCCGAACCTTTAGATTGTACTCTTTTTATTCAATAACTTGTAGAGATGGAACCAATGATCCGATCCATACATAGTTGCTGATCTTTGTGTCAATGATGGCGTCATAAGGGTTAGCCAGCTGAGATCTCAGCAGCAGAAAGCGCCGGGCTAAGCGATTCTGTGTCATCCACCCTTCACGTCAGTAAGCAGTTTTGGGGAACTCGGCTCGTTATGACCGCTGTTCGTGAACAGCTTTGAGTTGTGAGTGGAAGTCGAACATTCAGTTGATCGACAGTTACTTCTATAAGAACCTAATAAAGTGATTGATCACACAGATTGTGAAGCAGCGATGTCAAATTGATCTCTGGCACCTACCGTGGAAAGGTAGCTAAAATGCCGTCAGCTTATCTCGGGATTATAAGACAGGAGGACCCAAGAACGCATGTCGCATTCATACTACCACCAAACAAATGATCATGTTTTGGATAAAGTTGCAGCATCAGTGTTCGAAAATGGCGTTTATGTCAGTAGCAGCGATCCTTTATGAGTAATAGTAATGTCGGGTGGATATGTTGGGATTGTTCGTCTTTTGGTCTTAAGGTCCGTAAAGTCGTTGAGACAAACTCAGTCGATTCCATTTTCTGACAGCATGCATTCCACCTTGTGTATCCGTGTCACCGTTTTTTCTCTACTCCACATTCCTAGTCGGTATGATCGTGGCGAAGTTTTCCAAACCGCTTTTCATCGGCATAAGTGGTGGCTCTGCCTCTGGAAAGGTACTCATATTGACTGGTTTTCAGTCCGATGTTAGAGTGAAGCCTGTCGCAAGATCCAGGAGGTGTTGAGTAAAAAGTCCAATGGAAAAGTTGCAGTTATCTTATCGTTGTCTGCATTTTATCGCGAGCTATCTCCGGAAGAACGGTTGCTTGATGAAAGAGGTGTTTTCGATTATGCACACCCGAGTAAGTTGGTCACTTTTGCACCTATAAATGCTGGTTGTCTCTAGTGTCTTAGTTTCCTTTGTTCTTAGATCTAAACAATGCAACAAACTATGCTCGCTTCGATTCGCTTGTGCTTATTTACTTATACCATTGTCACCCAGGATCCCTTTATCCCTATCAAGACCATTGGGTGTGTAGCATCGGTGCACCTGCTGTAACTTCTAGTTCAGACTAGTATTTTCTGTTTTGCGATGTTCCGTACGCCGAAGATTTAACCTTCAGGGTCGGATGGGGAACGCTATGGTCACGGAGAAACGGTCGGGAACCCCGGTGGTTCCAATCCTTCAAAAATACTTTTAAAGGTGGGTCAGCTGAAATTATGTTGGAGGTTGCTGACGATCAGTAGTGAATACCCAGACGTAAAGAAATACACCCAGTCTATTTACCGCGAATGCAACAGGTACGGTGTTCACCTCTTCACCAGTTTGATCACTTATGTCCTTTGGAACATTCATCGAATAATTCCTCACCGAACTCGGAAACCGCCGGAAGTACCGAGATGTTTTACTAGTAGGGGTGCTTTAAGCGTCTTTTTCAATGTACATCAAGTTTTTCGCCACCGCTGGAGTGACTAAGAACCACAGTGTAACGTCATAAACCTCCATAACGCTCGTCAGTTGCTATCATACAGTCGTTGTGGATCAGCAGGCTATGTGCCGCCTAGCGAAACTCAAATAAGGACGGTAAAACAAAAAAAACCAATGACCATAAAATTCGATCAACTCCGAGTTGTGGTAGCTTGCTTCATTCTGCGCTTTATCAACACAAATAAAAATAATCGTTCAGCTGTAACATCATTTCGGTGCCTGGCTGCTATGCCACCCAAAGGAAGCACGAGGGCTGGGATACTGCCAGGTTGCCCAAGCCTAGGCAGGGGAGGTCGAGTTCGAACCACGGACCTCTCAGTCAGTAAGTTCGCGCTCTAACTACTTCAGCCAACACTTAGCAACACTACCTTCAGCTACGACATTTTTCAGCTAATAGTGTTGTGTTTATTTTAGGCTATGTTACCGTTGCAGCGGGGTGGTGTTTCTGTAGTACGTATAAACTCAGTCGTTTATCGTCCATCTGTGTCAGTGGCCTAGAGCAACATTGATGTTTCCTCTTGGGGAGTAATCTGCCCGTTTCTGGGCCCAAAAACGTATCCTCGTCTCCGGAGAACGTTTCCCCGAGACACTGGAAGAAATTCCGTGCCATCCCGGTCACTTCAGTGGGAGGGTCCCCTTTTTGAGGGAGGAGTAATGTAGCACCTGAAACCAAAGACAATTGGAATTCGACTGCAGACTAACATCAACGTGTACATCGATGATCTAGTGATTGTCTCAATCTAAAGTTTTGCGAGTCAACCAAAAACGAAATCTACATTCGCATAATCCTTGTCTGAACAGTCCTCCTCCTCTCCAGGGGAAACATTCTACGGTGTCGAAATCAAAGAGGGAAGCACGGGACTGAGATTTCGCTCTTGTTGGGGCTCCTCAACAGTGCATATTCTTGGCCGTGTTGGGATCTGAATTCCGGGTGTCTGGCATGTGAGGCCAGCGAGCCCACGCTAGACGCTCCTGGATTATCATGTCAGAACCTGCGAGCTTGTTTGCACTTAATCGACGTGATTGGTGTGTCCGATTTCTCGAACGACAATCTAGTGACGAAATCTTCAGGTACTCACCTGCCGATAGGCGAAAATTGGACTGTGATTTTTCAAAGTAGCACTGCTTCCACCTCTATTGAAACTCCCCTGAAACCTCACAAAATCCAACTGAATGGGTAGCCATTTCGGCTATATCCGCAACAGTCGTCTATCTGTTTGCCCATCGACCACATGGGTCAGGGTAAAGGACAGTCTGTATTCATACGTTCGACGATCACCAATAATTATTCAAGATTAACTGGACCGTAAAAATAACCCAAATTTGCGTTCAGGTTTGCCTATTTTTACCGTCTAGCTTCGATATAACTTGATTATTCATGTTTCCGTGGTGGAATCTTATCGATAGTCCACTATGACTCTGTCTTCTTTGTCGTTCATCATCATCTTCGTCTTCAATGACAACAAAACTAGGGCTGAAACACGTACTCCATCTCCTCTTTGAATTTTCTTCAGTCTTATTCCTTCCTTGATCAAATCACTTGTTAGGAGCTCAGGTTTCTAATCCTTGAACTGTACCTACTCATTCGTGGAGTTTGTGCATAACTAGAAGTTTCACTGAGACAGAACTGGTGGCGTGGTTGTTTTCCGGTCACTTAGCTATCCAACTGGCCCAGTGGCATCTGCGCACACTATTCCGGGTAGTTAGCCCTTTTTGCGCAAACTCAATGACCATTGTTGTTAGAATGTTCAGCTGTTCACACGTTTTGGTGATTTTGTAAGCCTTTCGAATTCAGTTGTTTATCCGACATACCGAGACAAATGTGTGCGTACTGGGTACTGTCTCGGGACAGCATCGCGTTGTACCTTTGTGTCTAGCCGTTGCATTCCGCATACCTTTTGTATTTTGACTGTTACTCGTTCGATATGTGCCCTGAATACACCTTTGTGTATCCCAAACCTTATCGATTCGTTGCTGACTATTTTCTTGTGCACTTTGATGGTCAGAATTATTTCCACCCTATGATTACCATTCGATTCTGTTTTTCAGACTCGTTCGACTTCAAATACCTGCTAGAAGTGCTGGGTAAAATAAAGCGCCATGAGGCGGTCACGATCGTATGTCGTGACTATTCTGAAGCTCCAGAGTATGCTACTGCTGCTTCTGTTGTGTCATTTTTGTTCTCAATTGTAGTAAACCCATCACCACTCAACATATCCCGGCAGACGTCGACGTAGTTATTGTTGAAGGGATATTGACTTTTTATCAAAAGGAGATACGTGATATGTTACATCTGAAGATCTTCATCGAATCCGATGCAGATACCCGGTTGTGTAGAAAAGGTAAATCCACCTCGCCTTTTTCCCATACACTGTTGCTTTAGTTCTTCACGATGTTTCTCGCAAAGGTCGATCGCTTGAACTCGTCTTGGATACCTATTTCAAGTATGTGAAACCCGCATTTGAAGAGTTCTGTCTTCCGGTGAGTGGTATTCATTCATAGTTTTCTTGCCCAAGGCTCATGTTTTGCAAATCAATGTCGGAGCAATCACTTCAAACTAAGTGATCTCCAATGCAATACTTCTCTCGCAGGATATCAGGAACTCTGCTGTCAATTAAGAACCTTCAGTAACACGTGGATATCTGTTTAGGAAATAATCGTTTGTTGCATTCTACATGACTTTATCACTGAAACTCCCATCAGATTTGGGGACGACTTTCTGTTTCGGTCAAGGGACACTACCATTAGCTCGTAAATGAGTGTGTTCCATAAGGGTTGCGAATCATCAGCTCTATCGAGCAAACGGGATAGCGAACGCCGCTAAGCTCTTGAGAAGAGCAGCTATGTCGTTCAACCTCACCTTTGTGAGTAACCACTAGGCCGGATCTTAGCTCAACGTAGATTTCACATATCCTCTCGCTGTCGCAGCGGGTCGTACGGTGACCATTGTTGTACTAGCTAATTTAATTATCGTTTAGTGGCGGTACCCAGTATATCTCATCCGCATTATATAAACGCAGATTGTTTTCGCCTTTACATGGTATCAAGTGCGATTTGCCGCAAGCTGTACACGTTTTTTGCGTGAGTGTTTCCAGTATGCAAAGCGTCTGACTTATTGAGGAGAAATGCCAATTCACTTCAAGTATGAACACGAAAGTCCCGAGTAAAACCTTTCAGGGTATCTTCTCTGTCCCTTGAAGACAAGGTCTAGCGCCTGCTTGGCTGCATGCCTGAGCTCGAGATGACTCGGTGTTTAAGGCGCGAACTTACTGACCGGAACGTCCATGGTTCGAACCCGACTTCTGCATCTCGACTGCTCCTCTCTAGACTCGGACATTCTGGCAGTATCTCGGATTTCATGCTTTCTTCGGGTGACATGGCAGCTCGGCACAAAAATGGCGTTACAGTTGAACCAAGCGCCCACAAGTCAGGAAGGACCGTTTTCGGGAACTGTGACTAAGTTGTGGGTCGAAAAACTAAGAAGTTTCTTCTGCATAGCACAACGATATATCCTCACGGAGGATGATCTACTACCTCCGGCCATCAAAAAAGCCCAGATTCAAGGGTTTTTGAGGATTTTCCACATCCAAAATCGTGCGCAGATTACAAAATTTTCAAACACAATAAGTTGAATCGTTATTCGACAGGTATACTCGCTTTCATACCAATTTGGTTTTCATGGGAGACACCTGAAACACGGCTTAATCTCTCGTTTGTGATTTTCTTCAACTGAATGTGGTGCACCCACCCGCCCCACGTTTCTGTTGGTGTGATATTCGAGATATCACCGTACATTGCACAGACGTAATACACTACTCGTAAGGTTGCTGAAAACTCTTCGACAGCGTACGACCAGCTTGGGTCTCATCAATCAGGTACAATCCTTGAGTTCCCGCCAACCTTCGTTCTACTTGAACCCAAATTTGCGAAGTGCACTCATTTTCACACCAATTTGCTTCGTACAGGAGACTCAACGGATTCCATCTCGTTTATGATTTGTTTCTTCGGAAGTTGGTCTATGACATTCTACCAGAAAGTTGGTCATACTTGTTCTTGAGAGATGCAGTTTTCATGCAAGCACATTGCCCAACAATTTTCCTCCTATGGGTTCCCCACGCATATTACAGGTCGCTAACACCATATTAATGCTCAGATACATCTTTTAGGTAGCAGGTTGTTTTATCCTTCCTGGTATGTTGGATTTCATAGTTTGGAGCAAATGTATCTGGGACAGTACGTCCATAGTTACAATCTAGTCTTAGTTTGACCGGTGTGATCTTTTGTTGTCATATCTCATCGCGATCAAGACCTTCTGAGTGCTACTGTCTGCAGCAAGGCCAAGTCGAACTATCGAGAAATTTGTTGCCATGGTTTAATGAAGCTCGTTTTCTTGATATTTTCAGAAGTTACTTTAGTTATAAGTTGTGAAGAGGTCTGAAACCGCAGAAGTTATGCATCAAGATGACGTCGATGAGAAGAAATCGCCCGATGAATCTGAAACAAGGCTTCCGACATCAAGTAGGGTGACCTATTTTCCAGGCTCATCACGTTGTAGAGTGGAACACCAGTGTGCTCAATATCCACACAGCCATTTTGCCTTTTCATAGTAGTTTGTTGTAGTGAAAAACCACATCAGTGTGATACCGAGAAGGGCCTTCTTTTAACCAGATATGAACACTGAATGTCTACACAATTACTCAGACAATCTGGTTGGAACGCTATGGCCTTTATGGGCAACCGTATCTTGAAACGTCTCAGGCCAAGCGAAGAAATAATCACGAAAATGTTAAATGAGAACGCGGTCGTGCCAAACGCCCGCAAAGTTACATGGCTGTCTGTTGACTTGCCCCAATCGCCCCACTTTGTACGCCATTTCAGCTACCACCTTTTGGCTCAGAACTAGTGCCGAAACTATGCAGTTTCAAAGTCGCTTGAAACTTCCCTTCTATTGATTATCTTAGTAATTCCCTGTTAGTGCCCAGTAAGTTTTTCCCAACACAGTGCCCCAGGTTTTTACACCAAGTTGGAACTCACACCTCAGGTTTTTTAGGTGGTAAACACCAGAAGCCGGACTTGAAACAAGTCGTCACTCTAACTATCGAGCCAGCTATATTCTTTGTCCTCAAGACTGTTCTATGTCGTTGGGTTCAGTCACGCGTGTTTGTCTGAATATGCAAATATCCAGCATGGACTTTGCTCTTTTGATTGTTGCAATTTGCTAGCATAGCCCACGTCATGTTCTCTGTTTTGCTGTAATCTACTGACGCGAAGTACATGCAGCTCTGTACTCAGAGAACGACGCTCAGTCAGTTGCGTAAGTTTCGCCAAAAGTTGAGGAATCGTTATTTTGATCTCTCCGAATGATAAACGGTTACACAAACCTCCTGGATATAAATATATGGAAAGTTCGAGACTTTGTTTTAGTGTTCTAGGTTGCTATCCTTGATAATCAGGACCTGGAGGTAACTAACAGGCTTGTATTCAACTACAGGCTCTATAATCTGGCATTTCTTTTAGTCTTGCTGGTAATAAAACCAGCATTCTGGCCTTCGGATCCACAGGAAACTCCAGTGTCACCTCGCTTGCGGCAGTAGATTGACTCTTCTTCACCGAAAATTGGAATCCTAGATTACGACGGGATTTAACCCTTCCGTTGGAACAGTGTACTGGGCGTAGTTGTTGCTGCACATATCCAAACATGAAATTTGATGGCCGAAAGCCAAAAAAATGCGATTAGCTTGACGTGAAAGGGCGAAATCGATTGTACGCTGACATATGCAGTTGCCCATCGCACAATCGATTGGTTGACCACCGATCTGTTAGCCATTGTATCTCTGTTTGCCTTCATCAACTCCACAGATTAATGGTGAACTTTATTGTCTGCCCACTTTGTGATTATTTTTTTGATCATAATCCTCCCAAGTCAGCACGCAATCTGTTTCATTCTTCCGCCTTGTCCCCACCAATATTCCGACAGACCAAAAAGTACGCCGATGTAATATTGCCCCGAGCACCGGACAATACGGTTGGCGTTGATCTAATCACAGAACATTTGCTCCAGTTGGTCAACGAGATCCCGATGACTCCGAGTCACTGTGGTGCCGGCACGCGAGTTCGGAACCAATCAGAGTCGTGCGTCGCTTCCATTAGACCACACTGACGTGAATAATCGATTTTCAGTGGTCTCGATTCCACATGACTTGTTATTTCCTATTATTCACATGGGTTTTTCGTATGTATCGTGCAAAGCAGATACTATTTACGCTCTGGACAGAGCGTGCTATTGCTTGTTTTTGTGTGACTTTGTCCATCTGCGGGACATTTCTTAATGGATTGTGCGTGGTTGGATAAGTTGATTGAATGCTAGGGCAAGAGGACATGACTCATTATGTGATGGCACCCTCAATGGTTCTAGTACAGTATTCTTCTCCATTATACCGCACTCTTCTCGTCTTTGACTCAGGTCTGGGTTCATCAGTTGGCACCATCCGTGGCCAGCAACTTGTAAGATTACGTCGCTTGTCTAGAAAACAAAAATGCATATACTATCCTCGTTAAGCTTCTTCGAAACTGATCCTTGATGGCGCATATTTAGCGGTTGTCTGATTGAGTTATGTATTTCTGATGTGCAATAGTTAATGTCGAACAATCGGCAACGAAGAATGATGAAACGCTTTCTCTGAGGAGAGTAGCCACCTAGAAGAAGGTCTATGGATAGATTGATCGATCTCAGTGGAGCACCTTCAATCAAAACTGTCGGCGCGGTGCCGTGAAATCCGACTTGCAGACTTCCAAATGTCCTCGTGGTTCGAATTGCTCTTCCCAACAGAGACCAAGATGCCAATAAATGCACCGGGTTTTCTTATATTATGATATCGAGTGAGCCTCTTAACAACCCCATTATAGCCGGTTCTGTTTCCGAGTGCTTAGAACATAAGAACATTGTTTACATTCGTCGTACATAACTTTTGTACGTGGAGCTCTTTGCAGAGGTCACTTGTGGGGACCAATCAAAGTGGTATTGTCTGGACTCAAACTAGTGGAAGGGCCAAACACGACTGATCTCTTCGGAGGATGAGTACCTAGAATGGCACAACTGCATCTCGAGAGAAGCGAACACACTGCTGAACTACGTCATCATAGTTCGCCTGAACATGGGCATCCAGGACATGTCATCAAATTATATCTATGTGGAAATTCCGTGGCGGTCTGAGTCTGGCACTATCCAGGCCCTTGAAGCACTGCTCTCGGCTATTGCACTGTGCAAGCAGCGTGGTTATCAAACAAATGATATGATTAAGTAATGTTGACAATAACTTAGATACCTTCGATAAAGTAAGGTAGACTTGTCTCAACTGACAGTAAGCCGTTTGTACATTGTTATTCTTCCCCATTAACAAAGGTGAAGCCGGGGCCTCATCCGTTCTCGAGCAAGCGGATTGAGTGGGCTCATATTCCGTGGGCCAGTTCATATTGTGTTTGGCTTCTGTCTTGCCTCTGATCATTCTACCTTTGGAAACTTATTTGGTGTGCCTAGGAACCTGTGAACAGTTGTGATACTTTTAACTGATAATCATTGGGAATACGATTAGCAGATTTGGAGACGTGCATACACACGCACGTGGACGTGCCATAATGGTGTTGTAAATCCGTGTATACATAGGAAACTGCCCGTTCAAGTTACGGCACGCGGACTACTGTAGTTCAACGTGATGTAACGTTCCAATAAGAATCGTCCAGTATCTCAAACTCCATGTGTTGAAGCATTCAGAAGAACTTTGTTGAGGCTAGCAGTAATGATGAAAGTATAGATTCCAAATTACGTCTGGTGCAAATGCTGGTTTTGTTACCTTTTGAGAGACCCTTTTTGTGGAGCACTGATCGTTCGAGTGCAAACGGTAAAGGCGTTATAAGCAGAGGGTTACAACATAACCTGACCGGATCTAGTGTTTCATTTCTGTTAAGAGAACAGCTGTAGCAACGTCTGCTTTTGTGACCGCTAAAAGTTCTCCCTCCAATTTGACTATCACCACTGAGTAGCTCCTTTCGAAGGATCTCGTCCGGAAGCAGTTGACTGATCTCACATCCTTTTCGTGCTAAGCGAATATCGTGATAACATCATTTCTTATTTTGTGAGAGAAGAGGATTTTGTACGGTATGCTCGCCACACTGTTGGGGTGAACATGTCAAGCACCCATGAAACGGTCTATTGACTTACTCGACCCTAACAGGCCACTCTTTTTTATCACTCCTAGATACTTGATCTAATTGGCAATTGATAACCTGAAACACGGGCCCGCAAAACATCGTTACTTCGCCCCTGACCGCAACAATTTTTCAAAGTCTCAGTCTGTGGATATGTTCACTCGACGTCCTGATCGGACGGCGTTGTCATCACCGATGGACTTACGACATTCGTACGGATCACCTGTGTTGGCCTTACGTATACTGCCGATATGTGATTATATCACAATCCCACGTTCATTCTGTTTTAGCACTTAAACCCTGGTCAGGTAGCCCATCCTCTGACACAAACCTTGTAGTGTAACAAAGCATTTCATCTGAGCAGATATCCCAAGCCATTCGGTGTTCTACCCACTACTTGTTAGCACCGCTTGACTAGCAACATCATATTCATTTCCTTTATCATGGGTAGCTACGCCGTCCTTTGTAGCTTCTCTGACATCCCATGGCTGCCTCAACTAACCCTGTGGCAAGGCTTCACAACCCGGCCTACCGGTGCTATTCAGTTCCAACACTAACTCATCGCCCAAATGTTGGCTTAGGTAGTCACACCTGAAGCAGATATGCTGGTTGTTGGCGTTCTATCTAGTAGAAGTTGGTATCCATTCGAAGAATCTTTGAGCGTTTTCTTAGCTACTGAAAGGTGTCCATTCCGATGGGCAGAAGGGATTCCTTCTATTGTTTGTGTCCATCAGCACAAAAATTTTTATCAACCTCCCCCCCCCCCAAGAAAAAAAGTGCTCTGGGGTTTTGCCCATTAATTAAGGCTTTTTCGATGCCATGGTTACTATAGCACTTTGGTACTGAACAGTATCTTCATATGTCAGCAGGTTTATGCAGGGTGGTTTTCTCTTCTGCTATGCACTGACCGTCATAAGAAAGAGTTTACCACTCTGAATCATGATTGCCTCAAAATGATCTTTATCTCCCTAGCAGGCAGCTCCTAGAATCCCGGTGAAAATCCATCAGGCTGATAGTTATAACCTTAGATCTGATCTAGACCATGATCTGTGGAAAACGTGGGTTTTTTTTTTTTCTTGGTGGGATTGCGAAATAGCGAAGAATCTGTGGAAAACGTGGGCTTTTTTTTTTTCTTGGTGGGATTACGAACATAGCGAAGATTTTGAAACAATAGGTTGGAGAGTTTTCAGGAAGCTATTCAATGTAATTTGGCACACTGGTGTCATGACTTTTGTATAATGTAGTAATTCTCCTCAATCAGAGATACTCCGCACTCCAAAAAACCTTTGAGTTCTCTGTAGGCTTTTAGCCAATGAAAAATGAACGGACAAGAACAAGGGACGGATTCTGCCTTAAACACCAATCGCACTTCACCCAATCTCTGTCTCTGGCCGTCTTTTAGTGCTTGCACAAGGATCTGTTTCAGGAGTATACGTACTGTTAAGTAAAAAAAAATATTAAATTGATTGTTCGAACCGAACCGACTTTCAAGGATATTAAAAATGTCCCCATTGTGTACTACAGTCAACCAATGTTACGTTGCCGTAGAGTCCTATAGCGTTGGAAACACACGAATTGAAGTTTCTTTTGAGTTTGCTGGAAACGCAACATTCTATTTGATGAAATACCACCGTCCCCTAACATGATGAGTCTGCACTGGTGATGACAGTTTTGGTCGTTCTGTCAGGTTTGTGGAAGACTTGTTCTTACGCAATTTCCACTAAACGAGATATGCTGTTAGAGATGATGCGGCAACATACTCCACACAAGAACCCCGAAAATCAGGCACGTTTACTTTGTAACTCCTAAATTCACTGAACGATGCTATACGCTTGAATCATATCGTATGACATGCTTGACCTTAGCGCGTTCATTTGTCTCATGAATTTGGGTGTACACCCACCAAACCTCTTCAGATGAATGAGCCTTCCGCACTTGGGGATGATTTGCATTTCGTCTTGTTTCGTCGAAGGGTTCCACTGTATCCATTGCTTGCATTGGCCTTCCAAGTCATCATATCTTAACTCATTTGCAAAGATATCGTGAGAATCTGTTACGCAGAACTCGATTACACTAAATTAGGGTGTTTTGAGTTCTAAAGGGATTTCTCAGGTTTATAGTGCGCATCTCCCAAACAGCATCACACGAACCGTTGGTACTGTGACTGCTAACTAGGGTAGGCGCACTAAATACTGGAGCTTTCCATCTCAGCATATGTTTTTAATCAAAGTTGTTCCCTTTCAACTACTTACGGCACCGCGGTTCATGGTGGAGTGCAGATTGACTACATATATTGGATGAGTGTGGTCCGTTCTAATACTGTTGAGGAAGGAGAACTGTGCAGCCGTCCGTTGCAGATAGCACATGGGTGGGGGTGCAGTTGATAAGAGGCAGTCCCCTCAGCTTTCCGTTGAACATCTGAACAACTGTTCCGAGGATTGAAAGCACCAGGATCCTCCAGTACAGGAAGGATTTAGGATAATCAGTTTTATTGCTGTGTCCTGAAAGAATAGATTCAATGCAGGCTGTTCATACTAGAGTTGTCCTCTAAAGCGAACGCCTGAGGTAACAAACCAAGTGTGGCATCTCCTTCGAACTATGAGGTGCCAGCCGAAAGTTTTCTTAGAGGAGTTATATATATATAT